GGCTCTTGGCATAGTAACATGTAAGTAAAACTCTGGAACTTGTTACAGGAAGAGTAATTCACAATTTAATAAATCTTAGGTAGGTGATTCATAATCTGGTACCTGTATGTGATAAATAACTTCAGGTAGCTTCATAATAAAGTGCTGCATAGAAGTATGTACATTATAATCTGGTACCTGTTAAAGGTAGGTAGTTTTGATATCTGGTACCTGTTAGAGGTAGGTAACTTAGAAATCTGGTACCTGCTAGAGGTAAGCAGTCTTGTAATCTGGTACCTGTTAGAGGTAGGTAGCTTTAAAATCTGGTACCTGTTAGAGGTAGGTAGCTTTGAAATCTGGTACCTGTTAGAGGTAGGTAGCTTTGAAATCTGGTACCTGTAAGAGGTAGGTAGCTTTGAAATCTGGTACCTGTTAGAGGTAGGTAGCTTTGAAATCTGGTACCTGTTGGAGGTAGGTAACTTAGAAATCTGGTACCTGTTGGAGGTAGGTTGTCCTGTAATTTTGTACCTGTTAGAGGTAGGTAGCTTTGAAATCTGGTACCTGTTAGAGGTAGGTAACTTTGAAATCTGGTACCTGTTAGAGGTAGGTAGTTTTGATATCTGGTACCTGTTAGAGGTAGGTAACTTAGAAATCTGGTACCTGCTAGAGGTAGGTAGTTCTGTAATCTGGTACCTGTTAGAGGTAGGTAGCTTTAAAATCTGGTACCTGTTAGAGGTAGGTAGCTTTGAAATCTGGTACCTGTTAGAGGTAGGTAGCTTTGAAATCTGGTACCTGTTAGAGGTAGGTAGCTTTGAAATCTGGTACCTGTTAGAGGTAGGTAGCTTTGAAATCTGGTACCTGTTAGAGGTAGGTATTTGAAATCTGGTACCTGTTAGAGGTAGGTAGCTTTGAAATCTGGTACCTTTTAGAGGTAGGTTGTCCTGTAATTTTGTACCTGTTAGAGGTAAGTAGCTTTGAAATCTGGTACCTGTTAGAGGTAGGTAACTTTGAAATCTAGTACCTGTTAGAGGTAGGTAGTTTTGATATCTGGTACCTGTTAGAGGTAGGTCACTTAGAAATCTGGTACCTGCTAGAGGTAGGTAGTCTTGTAATCTGGTACCTGTCAGAGGTAGGTAGCTTTAAAATCTGGTACCTGTTACAGGTAGGTAGCTTTGAAATCTGGTACCTGTTAGAGGTAGGTCACTTAGAAATCTGGTACCTGTTGGAGGTAGGTTGTCCTGTAATTTTGTACCTGTTAGAGGTAGGTAGCTTTGAAATCTGGTACCTGTAAGAGGTAGGTAGCTTTGAACTCTGGTACCTGTTAGAGGTAGGTAGCTTTAAAATCTGGTACCTGTTAGAGGTAGGTAGCTTTGAAATCTGGTACCTGTTAGAGGTAGGTCACTTAGAAATCTGGTACCTGTTGGAGGTAGGTTGTCCTGTAATTTTGTACCTGTTAGAGGTAGGTAGCTTTGAAATCTGGTACCTGTTAGAGGTAGGTAACTTTGAAATCTGGTACCTGTTAGAGGTAGGTAGTATTGATATCTGGTACCTGTTAAAGGTATGTAACTTAGAAATCTGGTACCTGCTAGAGGTAGGAAGTCTTGTAATCTGGTACCTGTTAGAGGTAGGTAGCTTCAAAATCTGGTACCTGTTACAGGTAGGTAGCTTTGAAATCTGGTACCTATTAGAGGTAGGTAGCTTTAAAATCTGGTACCTGTTAGAGGTAGGTAGCTTTAAAATCTGGTACCTGTAAGAGGTAGGTAGCTTTGAAATCTGGTACCTGTTAGAGGTAGGTAACTTAGAAATCTGGTACCTGTTGGAGGTAGGTTGTCCTGTAATTTTGTACCTGTTAGAGGTAGGTAGCTTTGAAATCTGGTACCTGTTAGAGGTAGGTAACTTTGAAATCTGGTACCTGTTAGAGGTAGGTAGTTTTGATATCTGGTACCTGTTAGAGGTAGGTAACTTAGAAATCTGGTACCTGTTAGAGGTAGGTAGTTTTGATATCTGGTACCTGTTAGAGGTAGGTAACTTAGAAATCTGGTACCTGCTAGAGGTAGGTAGTCCTGTAATCTGGTACCTGTTAGAGGTAGGTAGCTTTAAAATCTGGTACCTGTTAGAGGTAGGTAGCTTTGAAATCTGGTACCTGTTAGAGGTAGGTAGCTTTGAAATCTGGTACCTGTTAGAGGTAGGTAGCTTTGAAATCCGGTACCTGTTAGAGGTAGGTTGTCCTGTAATATGGTACCTGTTAGAGGTAGGTAGCATCATTATCTGGTACCTGTTAGAGGTAGGTAGCTTTGAAATCAGGTACCTGTTAGAGGTAGGTTGTCCTGTAATCTGGTACCTGTTAGAGGTAGATAGCATCATTATCTGGTACCTGTTAGAGGTAGAGTGCTTTATTTTTGTATCATGTGGTGTAAATGTCTTCTCCTTTTTTTGTGGGTTTTTTTTTTTTTGCATATTTAGAATAAAATTACCCTCAAAATAATCCAGTTCTCGATTCTTTTTTTCTGTTTAATCTTAATGTTTTGTTTTAATTTCAATAGAATGCATGAGGGGTTGATTGCTCAGCTATGTCCTAATTTCTTATAACAATCCTCTCATGTTTGGCCACATTTCTCAGAGTGCCAAATTTAGATAAACTTTAATAATAGTTGAAGCATGAGCTAAATCTGTGTAATCACAAGCACTCCTTACCACCAATATATCGAATGATAGGAAATAAACCGATATTTTTGTCTAAATGTCTCTAGTTTTTTTTTATATGCATTTGATACTGTTTAATGGTGCCAAAGCATTAAAAAAAGAAATGAAATGAAGAATTATTCACTGAAAAATATTAAGCAGTTAGAATGAAAAGTGTTTTGCTTGCAGCAGCAAAAATCCATAAATTCTAAAATAAGAATATTATACAGAGAATTATACCATTAAACTATGAGCATTTTTTGTAATGCTGTTTATATCAAGACGCATCCCGTTCATAAAATTGCATATCTTGCATTAGGCGGGTTTCTCTCTCTCTCGCTGTATGTGTAGGGAGGTGTGTGTGTGAGGGGGGGGGGGGGGGGGTAGATATTTATTGGTCTGGGAATCGCGGCTCTCCATTGATCCAGGGTTGTGCTCTCTAGGCAATATTAATTAAAAAGTTTGGAGGCAAAACCAAAGAGAAATTCCTTTAGAAGCCAAAATTTATGAATTAAATACATTGTAAATAAATAAATAAATACAACAATTAAATATTTAAGTAAATAAACTTCGTCATGCATATGTTTGGGGGGGGGGGGGGTCACAGCTGTGTTAAACACATCTGTTTCCATTTTATTATCATTAATGTTAAAATTATTGTGACGATTTTATAATCATTAATGTTAAAATTATTGTGACGACCCACCCCTTCCCCCTTACCACCCCCAACTTCGCAAGATCTTAAGATCAGCAATTAGAAAACATAAATTTCTCTCTCTCTCTCTTAATTATTACGTTTTACATATTAAATACACATTAATCTTTCTAGAGAACGATTGATGTGGAACTTTTTAATAAGGGTACAAATTCATGGTTATCACCGTTGTAATGCGAGATAACTCGTACGCACTTATGGAGAGATAACTCCTGCCAGCCATCCCTGCAAGCGGTACCAGATAGCATCAACCCTAAATGTTCCAGAGAAGAAATGCATAAATTTTGCACTTTTACAAAAACTTTGTCTTTCTATAGCCCTTTTAAACCCACAACCTTACTAGATGAAACATTACGTATTTTACAATGTAAGGAATGGAAAGAAAAGTTTTTTACAAGGGTTGATCCAAAAGTACTGTTATATTAGATAATTCAATAATTCAAGTAATAGACTATCCATTCAGTTCTGATTTGATATTAAATAGCTTTTAAGATTAAGATTTTGAATGGATTAGCAGGTAGTTGTACATTTAATTGTTAGACGGATATGTGTTTTGACAAATTTTATTGAAAAATTTCAATAAGGACTTGGAAATAGAAATCGCCTTTATGTGCCTTCCATGTATAAAAGCTAAAGACAGAGACACAAAAATAATATTTGTTTATGATAATAAAGTATTACAATTATAATTAACGGACACTTGCAGATGGAAAAAATTCCAGATTTATAAAAGTTTTCTTAAAAGAATCCTTTATATTTTTAGTAATCCACTTTCCTTTGCGTCAAGCGTATTGCGTTGTAGAGTTAAATCGTAACCAAACAACAGAGTTTTGAAATATTCGAAATTCAAAATTAAAGGCACGTTGGCATCAAATAATTTTATGCCAATGAAAATGAAAATAAAAACTATAAAGTTGTATAAAAATATTTCTGTAGGCCACCATTCTGATATTTTAACCACTTTTACAAATTCTTGCATAAGGATGGCAAATGCTCAGTGGATAAAGTAAATAATTATCAAACCATGAAAATTCTTCGAAAAGGTGGAGGACATTGTCAATCTCTGTTATATTATAGCTAAGAAATTCAAGATCAGCACATTATTATATGTAAAAATATTTATTATGTTGATATGCGAAGTTTCATTCCATTTATGGTGAGACCTGTCAACAGGGGATGCTTAGTCCTTGGCACCTGTTCTCACCTCTTGAATTTCCAAGGGTCCATGTTTTATCCGTGTTTTATGCCCTCTTCACAGATTTATATTGTTTATAAATATTTTTTTTTAGATCGATCACTGTTTGTTATCTTCACCTTTTTCATTTAGCATAGAAAACAAATTATGAACAGGCCAAAAACAACCGAAAACACTAGAGGTAGTGTCAGATGCCTATAAGGAGAAAGCACACAAGTAGACGATGGTAAAGCTGAAGTCATCCGTTTGTCATATAGTTTAGCTGTTAGTTTGCCATTAACGTCTCTTTTCAGTTAAACATTTAAATATGAAACAGTTGAGACAGACTCTCTGTTGTCTGTTTGTAAGTAACATATAAGTAAAAACAAGTGGACATAACAATTTGATTTATTTTTCCAGATTGTCATCCATTTTTAGATGGCTCATTAATTACAATTTGAAGCCGGAGAATGAGGACCAGTCACCAGCAGCAGACTCTCCGTGTCCTTTGGCCCTAATCCAAACTTGATCGTTCGTCCTCATCCCAATCACAGCTGTCGATGATCCGGATGCATAGTGCGGACTGCCACTCCTGCCATCAGCATGGTTTTGAGCAACAGCATTACCATTGAGAACAATCTCTGTGTGAAAAACGTTCCCAGCATGTGCGAGAACGTTCCACGAGAAGACGTAGATACCATCTTCAGGTGCTGTAAATATTCCTGTGAGAGGACTATAGGCGTGTCCTGCGTTCAGAGTTGTTGTTGTAAAAATAATAATGGAATTGCCTGAGAGACTCCTTTGATTTTTTGTTAATTTTGCTTGAAAAGCTACCATTCCTGTTAAACAAAGTGAAATGATTAGAACGTGAATCTCTGAATGTATAATGATATGGAATTTATTTACACTGTTTATACGTTCAGAAGTTTCAATGAGGATGGCAGTTAAATTGCATAAATTTATGAACTTAATTGCATAAAATTATGTTCTGTGAAAAATAAATGCGAAAGAAATGATTATGGAGACCTTCAGCGTGTTTTCCCACGTAACGGGAGTAAGCAGTACAAATACAATACCTTCACAAGGAAAATATGACCTTGCATGCACGAAATAATGTTCTGTGAAAATAAATGCTGAAGAAATAAATATTGATAGTTTCAGCTTGTGTAACAGTACAAAGCAGAACACATACAATACCTTCATAAAGGCTTCTTGTGGCACGCCCTAACAGCTGATTCAATATGCTTTCGTTTTTGATACCGTTTATTGTTCCATTTGCACGAACAGCAGCAAGTAAAGCTACAACAAGAAGTGCCGCCTTGGGGTGGAAAATCCTATTCAAAGAAGTTGAAAAATATTAACCATATTTTCTTATCCTAATGCGATCAATATGAATATAAGGAACAGTATACAAAAGTCGAATGAAACGACACCAATTGTCAAGGCAAACACAGGCCTCCGAAAACAGAAATGGGATCAGGTGCAATGGAGAAGTATGCATTCCCTGTCGTCTTGAAAGATACGCCGTGTGCCCTTTGTCATGATCGATAAAAAGAGGAATCCGTAGTCATTTTAGTAAAAAAAAAATATGGCCTAACAACTTATTTGAAAGACATCAGTCAACATTCACCTAATGACAGAATTAATTTGCAAATACGTCATTATATCGACTATAGATTATGAAAATGTTTACTTTAAAAATGCTTTTATTTACCCATTCATCATCAACTCATCATTAACTTGTTTTTCAATAGCCTGCATGTCATACATAATTAAAGCGTCAATGACTTTAGATATGTGAAATCAGATACCCAGTACATATAGAATTCATCGTACATCTTTGATAAAAAAATAATTTGATATTTAAGAATAGTTTTATTATCTTCCTTTTAGACGAAAAAAAATTATCATGAGTTAAACAAACTCAACTCAATCTGGAATATATTTTCATGAAAGAATTTCAAGAAATTTTAAGATTCCATAATCCAAGAATAGTTTTGCTTTGAAAGCTATAATAAGCCTTACCAGAATTGCGCTCACCTATTTTAAAACTTGAAAGTTATTCATATCTAAGGAAATCCAACTTTTGGGAAATCACCAGAACAGATTTTAATTGTTCTAAAACACTTTATACGGATTGTGTACTTTTATCTCAGTACATAGTATAGCATTATAAAATATGGCATATCAATAACACTATTAAAGTGGAGCTAAGCAAGAACCCTGGTCTTAAAAGCTACGATATTTAAAGGAATAAGAAAAGATTTTGTTATAGTTAATAGCATACAATTTGTTAAAACTTACATATACATGATTGCCAATACTTGGTCAAGTAAATGAGACAGTCATATTGCAGTCAAAGGTCTTTTTATATGTTTCCATGTTCGTTTAAAAGAAACATTAGCTTTGTTGCGTGTAATTTGTCATGCTAATATCCCATTAATAAGAGTATAAAGTTTTCAAAAGATTTACACTTAAATCTCTGCTTATCGCTAGACGACTAGTAATTATCTTTACATTTCTTTTTTAACTTTGTGAACAATTTTTATGTTATGTTATTTGGTCTTCAAATAGTATGAATCTTTATCCAATTGTGTGCATTTGCAAACACAATTCAGTTACACGTGTATTTACGATCAGAATGAAAAGTTATCTTTGTATAACCAGTCTCGGTTGGAGGTATATTATTTTATATCTTAAATATGAAATGACCAACAACGATCAAAACATTCGTTGAATGTGTCTGGAAATCATAATTTCCATAAGCTGTATGACATTGAAGTAACAAACATAAATCTAAATAAAAATTATAATTCATTTTCTATCCTGTTGTACTAGTGTACCAAAGTGTGAGAACATTAGAGGTTTCAAAAACACCAAAGAATTATGCCTAATTCAGTAATCAATGAACTAATGTATTAGGAGCTTGTTCATGATTTAAGTGAAAGGCTCTACATTTAATACTATAGTACATAAATCCAAAGGAATAAGAGTGAGAATACAGTTTTAGTTATAGTATAGATTCATTGAGATAAGCTGTCACTGAGATCAATGAAATATTATTACTTAATATAGTAATGACACAGTGACACAAATTAAGAACCAGGTACTAAAAATCCGCGTCGCCCAACTAGAAAAAAAACACAGACAAGAGTAACAAAAGCTTAAAATCGATTTTTTTAAACTTTAATATCGCTTGCTTTGACGGAGACTCATAATTTCCTTACACAAAAAATGTAAACTTAACCTAAAATAATTAATATGCTGTATTGTTTGCATGAAGTCGATCAATATCACTATATATTGAAATGAGTATGGAAAACTATCCTGTAAAATATTCTTCTAGTCATCATCAGATCTTTTGTTCCAAACCCTCTTGTGGATAAATTTTATATAAAAAATTACGAAGCATTATAATGCACTAAATTATCCTTCCTTAAAACATTGAAACGAATTAATATCAATGATTTTCGTCAGTATTGTGTCGTTAAAGTTTTGAAAGCAGTTGAAATATTTAGCACTTGACTGACTTAGTGTATCATGACATAAAAACTATAAAGAGAATTTGTTTATGATGAATAGGTGATCATTTTTTAACTTTACATTTTATATATTTATAAGAGAGGTCAATCAAAACAAAAACACACACACACACACAAAATATCTCTTATTTGTCATGCAAAATGAATTTTTCTTTTACTCACTGTACGAATAAAAAGACATGTTAATGTTGTGTTGCTACATTCCTCGAAAATAAATATTTACATATACAATGTTTATATTTACTCGTACATGTATTTCTAAAAGCTCAGAATTAAATCTAATACAAAATCTCAACTTGAATTATATTTCATCTGTGTTTGAGCCCCCCCCCCCCCCCTTTGCTTTCACCCATTTTTGTATTGTTAACTATGTTTTACTACTTTTCATCATTTATTGAAATAAATGACATTTTTCATTTCTACGTGGGTCTGTTTTCTGGCAGGAGAGCTAAGAAATATGAGTTATATTTATACAATAAAATCATCATTTATTTCCTTTAACATTCAACTTACCTTCATGTATTTTCTGATTACTCAAAGGCGGGTAAGCTTGATGCACAAATCTTTTTCCTCATTCTCTTGCTGTTCTCCCCACTCGAACCAAACAAATATCTTGTAATTTGTCAATTTTGTGACATTTAAGTCACCTGAATCCCTTTTGGATCTATTGTTACCTGTTTTGTTCGTCGTCGTTTGTCTATTACAAACTTTTGAATATTTTCAGTTTCTTCTCTGGAACAGCTGAACCAATTTCAACCAATTTTTGCATAAAGCAAAATATTGCTGGTTGGCCCCTACCACCTAAAGACGCGAGGGGTGGGATTAAAACCATGAAAATAAATGCAATCATTGAATCTTCTTTAGTCCTGGACATAAAGCAGTCAAGCTCTTAGCATGATTGTAATAAGCATTGCGCCGTCTATCTAAATTGTGAAATTCATGGCAGAGGGGTTCTGGGCTTAGGGAGAGACTTTATTGATCATATGATAAAAATGCATTAATTCTTGAAAAATGTTTCTTCTGTTCCTCTGTATATTCAATAGACAAACTAAGTACATGGTTATGATGAGCAGGGATGCCTATTAAAAAATGTTTAATTCATGACCCCTTAATCAGGGGCTCTAGTGTTACATGTAGGACAATATGTATAATTGATGATATAGTGAATATGCATTAATTCTGTGAAAAATATTCTCTGCTTATGGGTATTTAGTAGATAAACTACATGTAAGTGCATTGTCATAAGGACAAGGATGCCTCTTCAAAAATTTTGAAATAACCCCTAGGACAGGTGTTTTGGTGTTAAAGTTGGCCTCCAGTGATTATGTAGAAAAAATACATTAATTCTTTGAAAATCATCTTCTCTGCTTTTGGGTATCTAGGAGACAGAGTACAAAGCTGTCATAAGAAAGGGTGTATTTACACTGGATCAAGGATTCTGGTGCTACGCAGGAATATTGATCTTGTAGGGAAATTTGTATTATTTGTTATTGAATTAACCTATGATAATTAATAACTGTAATGAAATATAGATATAACAAACGGTAATCAGGCTCAAAAGTCCATTGAAATAATACAAATTGGGAGCTGATCAAACACAGACCTGTCAAAACATCAGAGATGGGATCAGGTGCCATTGAGGAGTAAGTATTCCCTGTCGACTGGTCAGACCTGTGCTCCTTGAATGATCAGGCAACAGAAAAATCCATCGACAATTCTGTGTGTAAATAATGGCCTAACAATTAGTATGAAAAAAGTTAGTCAGCATTCGATTTAATAGATAGTATTTGCTAAAAAAGTCATTGTATCGACCATATAATATAATATTGCGAAATGTTGACTTTAAACTAGACTGTTTATATCCTTGTTTCATCAGCTTGTTTCTCAGTAGTTTGCCTCATTTTAGAAATTATTCGTACTTAGAGCATACTCTTGCGTATCGAATCATATGGGAGACATACCCGGGAAACTCCATGTATAGGTGATTATGGTATTGTATTGCTGCATAAATAAAGGAAAGTTTATGATAGAAAAAATATCCAAATATGAAACAGATGTGTCAGACTCTGTAGTATATTTTATTTCAAGTTCACTAAGATATTTAGGGTCGACATATGGATAGAAATACCCATTTGCTAATTGATAATTATCTAAATGTCGAGTTGAAGGTCACAGCAAGTGTTTCATTCTTCTCATCATGTATACATTTTTGAATAAATTCTGCTTCATATGAATACAAAAAAAGGTCTATTGATAACGGGGTGCAATTGGTACATGTACCCATTGGAATTCCGATAGAGTGTTGGAGGACTTGATCTCCAAAAACTACCAAGATATTGCCAATCAGAAACTCAAGCATGTTTTTAATGTCAACTTCAGAGTACTTGTATGTAAAACAGAATGTTTTCTAAAATTTTTCAAAGGACCAACTATAAGGTAAATAAATTTACGAGTTCCATTTATATTGAAAAAGCAGCTGTCTATGAACTAAAAAAACCTAGACTTTAATATATCGTGGGGAATGGTTGTATGTTGAAAAGTTGTACGTTTTGATGTTATTCATTTTTGTAACATTTTGTGGGTTTTTCTTTATTTTCTAACAGCTCCTTGGAGTTTTTAAGTATCCAGATCTAATTTACAGCACTACTCAAATATATTACAACACATTACTTCTGAAGTTTCTCCTTCCATGTTGTTAATATTTTAGTGAGGAGCAAGGAAAGAGGCTTGGAACTTTGTTTGTAAGGATTTTTATGAAGTTTAGGAATTCAGTATAAGTGTGGTAGTTCCAATTAAAATT